AATCAGCATAGAAGTCAATGACAGCCAAAGGGTCTCTGGGTTTCTCTCCCCAGCGCTGGCATTTAACAAAGGCAATTAGGCCCAGGGCAGAGTCAGTAAAGATCAGGGTTCAGGACAGTCCATCCTGCAGCAGAGTGCTGTGATAGCTGGCCTGGTCCCGCCACTCTGAGCCTCTGCATCTTCTCCTGCTCAATGGGAATAACAAACTTGTTGTCAGCTCTGAGGCTTTTTGCCTCAGTCTGACAGTGTGATAATGCACACAGAGTGCAAACAGAAAAAGACTCCGGGAAGGTAGCTTACTTTTGGTGGGGTGCTATGTTGTGTCCCTGCTGGACAGTGCATTTCAGATGGGGACTGGTTTACTGGGTGGAGGAGGGAGATGGGAGGGAGAGGCCCCTCATTGGCCCAGGTGGAGCCCTGGAGGTGAGCGCCTTCACAGCCAGGGGTGAGGTCACCAGACCCTCAGGGGGGAGGAAAGGCCCTCCTGAAGGGTGGAGGGGTATGCTGATGGGCCCTCTCCCACTCCTCTCCCCCCACACCTCATTTATATCCGAGTTGTTCCCAGCTCCAACCCTTGAGAAAGGCGGTGGAGCCGTCTGGCGCGCCTGCCACGAAGGGTTAGGTAAATAAGCACAAGGCTCCTGGGGGAATGTGTCTGCCATGAGCTGCCCTCCCTGCAGCCGTCTCAGCAGATTTACGGGCCTCCCTTCACCGAAGCATGTGCCACTTCACTTTCACTCCTGGGAATCATCAGAGAGGAGGGGTCCCTAAAGGCCCAGTTCTGCTCCATGGTGTCCCAGCGAAGCTTTGAGCTCTGAAACCAGGATCTGGCTCCAGGTGTTACAGGCAGAGCCCTATTCTAGCTTCTCTGGCCTCCACTGCAATCCCAGGTGCGGGCAGAGGTTCCCAGAATCCGCAGCCATCTAGGCACCGGTCTTTGTTTTGGCACAGGATTGCATTAGGGTCTGGGGGTCAGCATCCAGGTTAGATTTACAGGAAGTCCTGTTTTCCTTCTGGGATTGGTCATTGCATTCACCAACCCATTCTTTACTGAGCAGCCTCCTGGGCCCGCCCTGGGGGGATAGGGGACTTGGGCGAGGCATCTGTCCACAGATCAGCTCTGGGATGGATGGGAAGAGAGCCAATGCAAAGGCCCCGCACTCTGCTTACAGTCTTCATAGAAGGCTCTGTGGATCAGTTCTCTCAGGAGTCAGATCTAGAGAAGATTTTCCATTCCCGCAGACAAAGACAACTATGTGAGTGATTCATGTTTACATGTTGCCTTGGTGTTCAGAGACACAATGCAAAATCAATGCTCAAGTGCAGTTCCTCTCTTAGCCTGGATATTTTACGTATCTTGTCCCTCACTATATGTTCATGCATTTTTGGGGGGTGCAGGGCCTTATTGAGCACTCACTGTGTGCCTGGCACCATGCTACATGCTCAGAGGTGGTGATAAGTGAAACAAAATAAGGCAAGATGCTGACCCTTTACGAACTCCAGTCGTGTGGATACCCCAAAGCAAGAAGTTATAAAACTGCAAGGTGTGTGCTGTAGTGAAGTGTGAACAGGGACATGCTCTGCGTGCTGGTAGGACACAGCACCTAATTTGCCTGGGGGTGGAGTTGCCTTCAAGTCCGAGTTTTTATGTGTCTTCCTAGACATCCCCAAATCCCAGGTAGCACATCAGCCTTGTTCTTGAGTCAGAGGGGCTCGGGATCAATCAGGTGCACACTGTATCTGCACCTGCACTGGACAGAATGGAAAAGAAGCTTGTCCAAGTAAGAGCATTACTGTACTTCATGATGTCTTGTACAGAGTATCACTTCAAAACTTTTCATATTTTACCAAAAGCCTATGTGTCTCCCTGATGCTAGCTATCAATAATTCACATATTTTATTTCATGAGGTAGCAGGGCAGGCAATGTAGCTCTGATTTACAGACAAGAACTCTAAGGCCAGAGGGATAAAGTACCAGTCACCAGCCTGTGAGCAGAATCGAGGCCATACATTGTATTTCCTGACTCTGGGCAAGAATATTTTCCTCTGCATGGCCCCAAAGCCACTGCCACCCAGCCACAGGCAGGAGACCCTCCCACTTCGCTGTGCTACTCCTGGCTGATGGAGAGGATTCTGGGTGTATCTTTGGAGAAGCATAAAAATCAGTGATGCTATGATAATGGAACAGAATAAAAGGAACGGGGTGGAAAGGCTCCTCTCTCCCCACCCCCCAGTTTTTCTAGCAGAGGGCAGGAAGGAGCCCTGTGTGTGGGAAGGGGCCCCCAGGTAGGCACCTGGGAGGCCTTTCGGTGACCCTGCTTGGCCTGACAGTTGGCTTTGGCAACAGGGAGGCTGAAGAATGCCTCCTTGAGCTGGCTGATGAAGCACCAGGCAATGCACTTCCAATTTTCACGTACAGGCATCTGGCAATGTGGGGAAATCAGAACCTTTCTGAAATGGAAAACACAAGTTGAAAACTGTATTTTGCCCCTGTTTTCACATGCAAGAACCCTGGTTTCCAGGAGCTCTGTCATGTCAATAGCATGTTTAAAGAACCATTGTTCTAGAACTTTCTCCTCTCCACACACACATTCTTGCCATTAGGAAAAGGAAGACTGGGCTTTGAAGTGTAGGGCTTTGAAAATATGAAAGAAGACAAACAAGCAAACAAACAAAAAACCATACTCAGTCTCCAGGCTCTTCCGCACGGCTCCACTGCAGAGCATGTGAACTGATCGGCAGTTGCCTTCCCGAATTCTAGGTGCGGGGTCACGTCTGTCAGTGAGACTGAGACCTAAGTCCTTCCTTTCCAGCTGGGCCTTCGAAGGAGCTAGAAATGTACTGGGTTTAGGATTCTGGGGTCTTATTTACAGCCACACTTTCTTTTTGTCCTTGAGACGGTTGTGTGCCCTGCATGGCCTGAGAGGCCTCTGTCTAAAGCAGTGAGACCATCTGGGGGTGGGGGATGGACAGGAGGATTGTGGGTGATCAAAGTCAGTGGGGACCAACCAGTCACAGGCGAGGTCCTCCCACAAATGCATTTGTGAGATTTACTCCTGACTTGAGACTCCAGGACTGGTGGAGGCACACTCACCCAGATGGAGTTCCAGAATTGTAATGGGGGACAGACTAAGTTCTCCCACCATTTGGGAAAAGGCACACACCAGTGAGAAGCCAGCCAAGCCTGGCCTGAGAGGTGAGAGGATGTTATTTACTAACACAACTCTTTCCAAGGAGTGAGTAAACAGACACATTTGGCTTGGGACTGAGGGCCTGGCTGGAGGGGAGAAAAGGACCCCCTACCAAACAGCATTTTTCTCTAAATGCCCCTTGAATTGAGACACAGTTGCCAGGTCTCCTGCGGTCTATTCTCTGTGAGGAATGTCTTCCCCAGCTTCTCAGCTGAGCACTACCAATTGTTTAGGGATTAACCCTTTGTCATCCAACCTCTTGTTTTATCTCTTTCCATCTCTTTCCCTCCATCTGCTCCTCTCACTTTGGCAGACCTTCCATTAGCCTAGAAATGGCAGAGAAGTTTGACCATCTGCAGATGTGTTTTGTGTGCGCAGTGGAATCACAATCTCCATATGGGCACGAGTGCTTTAAGAAAACAGTCTCGCTTCTTCACAAACTCAAGTAGCTTTACTTGGAATCTTTCCATCAAGAAATTTGGTCTGCAGAGTCCAAAGCCAGCTTCCCCGGAGCCTTACAAACAAGCCGCTGGCAAGGCAGCGCCTCCTACAGTGTCTGCCTTGAGCAATGAGATCTGTGGCCCATTGGCCACGTGGGGCGGTACCGCAACTGCTCAGATGCGGCCTTTTTTAGCATCCTTTGCCTCCTTCCACCCATACTTCAGGGCACACGCAGTGCAGATCCAGCGGACTTCATGAACTGCGTGCTGTCGTCTCCTGCCTCTGGGGTCGGTCATAGTCACACTCCCAGCTCTACGAATGTTTGAAACATACAAAGAATTCCCAGGGACTCTGAGGTGCAGGGTGGCAGGGAGAGTTCTGTTCTGGGGGGCTAGGTGAGAAGGCCCAGCTGTTTCTGCTAATACTCTCCCCTTGCTTTCTGCCTTAACAGGAACCCTTGGTTTTGACTTGAGCTTCCTGGACCAGCTATGAATGTAGCATGTGTGCTTGAGTGATGGATTTGATATTTACACACACCACGCTGATAAGTGCATGTGTTTTCAAAGTTTTGGCGTTCTACACCACAAACATGTCAGTGTGGATATGCGTGCACACACAACACAAACATGCTGTCGGGCTGGGGCTTGCGGAGGCCCCCCCCTCCTTTAACTGTCCTCCGAAACCCAACACCTTTGCAAGCAGTATTTCCTGCCACACCGAGCGACATTTACCTAGTGCCTCCGGTTTCAGAGGGCCACCATCCGGTTGTCCCACCTGGAAAAGTGCTGTAGTTTAAAACCAGCAAACAGCTCCAACCACACACCTTCTAGTGGTCTTTGCGGGAGCCGAGCTCGGCTAGCCGGGGATTTAAAGGCGGACCTCCGTCTCTTCTGCCTTCCTGAGCCTCAGTTTGTGGGGGAAACTCCATGTCTTTATAGTGCAGTTACAAAGGACGAAACCGAGGGGGTGAGCTGCCTGTCTGGTGAGCTGCCGTTTGAATGAGGAAGAAGTGTTTTTTAAAAAGTCTTCATTATCTTAAGGATTTTTCAAGTACTGTTAAATTCCTTGCTTCTCCGCGATCCGATGCAAGTTAATCACAGCGTTAAACATTCTCTTTATTCCATCCCGCACTTTTATTTTCTCTTCCTTTCATTTTACTGTTTTCTCTTCTTACCCCCTTCTTCTTTTATTTATTTACTCTTTGATTTTTGCTTTTTAAGGGGTGTTGAGCTGTGTTGCGTTCTAGTAAACCGGACCCTGTTGCAAGAACGGCGATTGGCTAATTTCGCCGATGACTGACGTGCTAAATGAGTGCGGCCCGCCGCAGCCCGGCGCTGATTGGCTGCGCGGGGAGACTCGGAGGGCTCCGCAGCAGGAGCACCGGGCACTCAGGTCGGGCAGCCTCGGGAGTCGGTGCCGCGCGCTCGAGCCCCCGCAGCACTCAGGCCGCGCACGCTCCCCTCCCCGCGGCAGGCCGAGGGCCGCCACCCGCCGAGGACTGGGCAGGAGCGCGCGGCCGCGGATCCGGGCAGGGGTGGGGACGACGCCTTTTGTCCCCGTCGACTCTTGGAAGTTTGCGGCGGGACACGCGCGGGGAGGCGGCGGAGGCACCCGCGACGTCGCAGGCGTGAGCGAGCCGAGCGAGCATGGGCAGCGGGCGCGGCGCCGGGGGCCGGCGCGGGGCCGCCGGGGGCGTGCTGCTGGCGCTGGCCGCCGGGCTGCTGGCTGCGGGTTCGGCCAGCGAGTACGACTACGTGAGTTTCCAGTCGGACATCGGCTCGTACCAGAGCGGGCGCTTCTACACCAAGCCGCCGCAGTGCGTGGACATCCCGGCGGACCTGCGGCTGTGCCACAACGTGGGCTACAAGAAGATGGTGCTGCCCAATCTGCTGGAGCACGAGACCATGGCCGAGGTGAAGCAGCAAGCCAGCAGCTGGGTGCCCCTGCTCAACAAGAACTGCCACATCGGCACCCAGGTCTTCCTCTGCTCACTCTTCGCACCCGTCTGCCTGGACCGGCCCATCTACCCCTGCCGCTGGCTCTGCGAGGCCGTGCGCGACTCGTGCGAGCCAGTCATGCAGTTCTTCGGCTTCTACTGGCCTGAGATGCTCAAGTGTGACAAGTTCCCCGAGGGGGACGTGTGCATCGCCATGACCCCGCCCAATGCCACCGAAGCCTCCAAACCCCAAGGTAAGGCCATCCCCTCCGACGCTCCGGTCGGCTGGGGACCCGGGGACCCGCCGGGCTGCAGCGGGGGTTGCGGGAATGCTTCCGCCACCCCGGCCTCCAGCTGCGGCACCACCCCGGAGTTCGGACATGCTCCCTAGAGACCGCTCTCAAGCGGAGCAGAATGATTTTTCAAAGCTCCCATTCCGTCCGAGGTGTTGCTTTGCGCCTTTCCCGATCCAGGTGCAGGGACCGCGGGGCTTGCGCGGCCGCGGCGGCTGTGCCGCGGCCGCGCGCAAACTTGGTCCTGCTCCTGGAGCGGCTCTTCCTGGGGTCCAGTCTTGCTTTTCCATACCTGGAAAAAAAAAAAAAGCGCTTAAATTTGCAAATGGAAGGAGAGCCCGTCTCTCCTCTGGAACGGAACCGAGTCCCCATCCAAGTGCTTTAACACCCCAAGCGGGATGCGCCTGAAGGAAAACAACCGAAGCTCAGAAAGGCCGAGGACCTGCTAAGGCGCGGGCTTATTTTCACAGGTTCCATGAAGATTTAAAACAAACAAACAAACAAACAAACAAACAACAACTCTTTCCTTAACTAGGTCGTTCGGCCAAGTAGCCCAAGCTGCAGAACTGGCTGAGAAAGTTTAGAAACTGGGAATTTCTGTTTCTCCACCTCGTTCAGGTGACAGCTTTGGAGAGGTTTGGGGGACGGAAAGGCTCTTCTCGCATACCCCCTGCTTTTCTCATTTACACAAATCCTCAGGTAATTAGAAAGATAAGAGTGTAATTAGTTCATTGTCCGTCTCTCCTTGGGGAGTGGGGTTCTGCGAATTGGAGACTTTCCCAACAGCATCAGGGATGGCCTGAGGTTCCTAGAAGAACAACACCCTCCCACTTAAAGGGCAGTTCTTGAGTGTTTTTTCGGGGGTGGGGGGAGAAATCCCGGAGGGGCAACAAAACAAAACAAGCAAAACAGCACGTGGCCTGACTTTTAGAGGAGTGAATTCAACCCTGAAATCTTTGGAACCAGAGTTGAGTCTCTGTCGGAGATGTGGAGATTGTCGGAGATGTGGAGATTGTCGGAGATGGGGAGATTGTCGGAGATGGGGACTGTGCCCAGGTGTGCCTAGCACAGGGGCAGGCATCTGGAGGGCTTTTTCAAGGAGCGGGCTGGCTGTGTGCTGACTTTGCCCATCTTTATGTGATGCCAAAAAGACTTGTCCACCGAAGGGTGTGTCCCCCCAGAGTGAAGGTGGGGGTAGATGTGAGGAAAAGGGCACCCAGAACTTTGAATGCACTTGCTAATCCCAGGATGGAGAGGATCGGTTTAAAGTGATTGATGCTGGGTGGCACGGGTCCTGGCTGGTGGAGAGGGAAAGACAGCAGCTTGCCTGCAGTGGCCCAGTCTGGGCACCTCTGCTCTCCCGCTTCCTGGGTATGTGCACAGGGTTAACCTTTGAGAAGGGCAGCCCTTTGAGAGCAAGAGCTGAGCAATTACCTAGAGCAAACAAAGCACTTTGTGTTCTTTGGTGTGGAGCCATCCCCTGCAGCCCCCAAGATTTCCCTTCTCCCCTTCCTCTGCTGGCCACTGGGGGATTAGCCCAGCCCAGACCTGCCCGGAGAGGCCTCGGCTAGCTCTGCTTGGTCTGAGTCCGCTTGTCCTTCTGGGACAGTTAGTTGGTGGACACGCAGACCTGTGGGGGAATATCTTCCGAGGGGAAGATCAGGGGACTAGCTGGGGTGCCGACCTATGAAGAAGTAAGAATTGCCTCAGCTGAATCCCCCAAAGGCCCTTCTTTCCTTGGCTGCGTGCGATTCCACTTGCCTGGTGCCTCTGGTCTGGGCCTTGCACTGTCCTCTTCCTTCCGTCCCAGGAGTGCACAGGCAGTCCCCACCCCAGACCAGCTGCTGAGCAGAGAGAGAGGCTGTGAAAGGACCGGTCAGGTGTGCAGCTAGGGAGCAGGCTCACTCTTGGCATCGTTGGTGTGAGGCCCTGCCTTGAGAGGGCATCCGTTCCCCCAACAGGACGACAGCCACCCCGTGACAGGGGAGTCCCATGAAATTTCCCCAGAAGTGGGAGGGCTGTGTGTGTGTGTGTGGGGGGGGGTGTCAGGGGCAAGTTGAAGTGGACCGTTCTTACGGCTGGAGGCTCCTGAGTAAAGACTGGTACTTTTGGATGACAATAAGTACACGCACTATTTTTATTCTTCATTTTATTCTTTAGAGTTGAGTTAAAACTGAGTTCTCAAAGCGGCAGCATCAGATCTCTGCATGATCTGGCTGGTTTCTGTTTACATCCTGGGCATGTACAGCTGTGGGATTTGGGGCAGCCCTTTGCGGCCACATGTTATTAAAAATAAACTCAGTAATGAGAAATGAGACAAAAGACACCTTTCCCCATACAGGTCATTGTCCAAGCCACACCAAGCATCTGTTATGGGAGAGGCAGTGGTTCTTTTTCTAGGAGAGTAATTTCTGGCCCTTACATTAGACCTGTGCCCTCTGATAAGTTGTTCCTCCTCCCTCCCTGCCAGGTTTTACTATTGAGGTTGTATGAACAAGCACGTACCGTTAGTTTAGTTTTGTTGTTGTTTAGGCATGTTGTGCATGAAATCAGCCTGGCTGCTTTGGCCACAGTGCCCTCATTATGCCTGAGAGCCTTCCATAGAGTCTCTTCCCCCTGTAGCCAGGAGCTGGCCCGGGAAGACCTGCCCTGTGTGTGTGTGTGTGTGTGTGTGTGAGAGAGAGAGAGAGAGAGGGAGAGGGAGAGGGAGAGGAAGGGGGAGGGAGGGAGAGAAGGTGCTCAGTGTGTGTGTTCACATTGATTTTAAAAAATTCACTTAATCCTGGTTCCAGTGTTGGACTTGTCTTCTACTTGCCTTTAAATGTTAATAAAACATAAAACATTTTAGTTTTTGGTTCCTTTGCTTTCAATATTATTTTGAATATGCTTTAAAACAGCGATTTAGTTCCACCTCTCAGGCAGATGACTGGGTGGATTTCTCCTGCGGAGGCAGCCTGTGGGGCCCCAAGGACAATCGTAGGGGGCGCAGATTAATATTGCATTACACATTCCTCCCTGTTCTGGATCGAGCTGCTGCTGCTCTGGAGTCGGCGGGGAGGAAAGCAGGGTGGGGGAAAGCCACATGGAGAACACGCAGCCCTCACCTCCAGGAGCTCCCATGCCCTGAGAGGCACTGATGGAGGTGCCCCCAAGGGAGAGGCTTCTGTGGGGTACAGAGATCCCTCGGGGAGCCCAGAGTGTCTAGATGAGACACACGGAGCAGATGAAGACCTGGCGTTGATAGTGTGGTGGCCGTCGCCCTGCCCTTTGTCTGGTTAAGATTATATTCATAGAACCTTGCAGCGTGATAGCTTCCGCTTTTTAAAAAATAACGTACACAAGGAAAATCCCCAAACACAGTGGACTCTCCTACCAGAAGTCACATGGTCCTTCCCATATTGCGGGACTTGCTTTCCCTGTTTTTCTCCCCATGGAAGCAAGAACCATATGTAAAACTCTGGGCAAGTTTTTCCCTTTGTTGGAAACACTACCAGTTTCAAATTTGCTTTTGGGTGAAAAGCAAATTTCCAACATCTGGGCCAAAACACAGTCCCACACCACAGTCTTCTCCTTAGAGTGTGGCTGTGGTTCTTGCTGCACTGAGAATGTGGACAGCGTTTGGCCCTGGGGATAGAGGTGGAGAGGAATCTGTCAACAAAGACTGAGGCACGTGGTCTCTGCTGGGCCATGTAGGGACCCTGCTTCAAGTGGCGGCTGTGTGGCCAGCTCTGGACTAGCTGTGTCCTGGGAGCAGCATTGGCTTGGGAGGGCTTGCAGCTCCCTGCTTACTCTTCATCTCGGGAGGCTTTGCCCACCTCCCTGAGCCACAGCGGAGCTCACGAAGGAGGAGATGCTATTCCAGAAGTCATGGATGGGAAAGGGAAGGAGGACTGAGAGCCTTATATTTCAGCAGAGGTCGCTCAGTACACCATACTTCTTCCAGGTGACTTTCCTGTGCTCCTTAGCTCCAGCCTGGCATGGCTTAGAGTGCTGTGCCAAGGATGGAGTGCCCTTAGAACATACCGATGCTTTCCTGAATCATGGCTCAAACTCCAAGTTGTTTGAAAGATGGTAACAGTGGTGGTGATGGTGAGAAATGGTGATGGTGATGGTGATGATAAGCCGCCTGTACTCTTCTTGGGAGTCACTGTACCACTTTTTTCCTGCCCTTCCAAAGAGACACTTCATCTCCTGGGATCCCTCCAGCATCAGTAGCGTTTTGGCTTGGAGGAGGCCTCCCGCCCTGGCCTCGGGTGCCTCTTCCCCCTGGGCCTTAGCCACCTATCGGTGGTCTTCTTGCCAGCCGCACACACATTTCCTCTTCAAAGCACTTCGCAGTACCATGAAGATGCCTGCAGATCCGTCCAGCTCTGTCCTCACATTTGGCAGCTCTTGCTAGCAGTAGCCCTTTTGAGGAGGGGTGGGTGTTCAGGGCCTAGGGTTACAGTTCATGAATCTGGCTGAATTTTCTTGGCTCCTTGAGAGCCCGTCAGATTGATCAGCTCTTTTGTTGGGGGGTTGGGGGTGGGAAGGGGGCAGGATTCAGATGGGAGGGTATTTAAAAGGGAGGGGAGAAAGAACAGGAAACAAACCAAACCAAATGCGTTTGGTTTATAAATTAACTTTCCCCGGGGACCCGCCATACCCCTTCAAGCCACAGTCGGAGGACTCACTCCCACCCAGACCCTGACGTTGCTTTAAGTGGTTGTGCCATACTCTACAGCTCTAGCCCCCAACTTTTCAAGAAATCGTATGTCTGTTTATATAGCTTTAGGTCCTGGGCTTTAGGACCCTTCATTTTGATTCTCGGGTTGCCCTTCAGAAATTCCAGAAGACCTTTAGCTACTTGCATTCTGGTTGTGGGCTGATCTTTCCCGGGAGAGCTTCTTTCTGCACCCCCCCTAATCCCCTAACTCACAGCTCCTTTTTCTCCCCCTTCCCTTCTTAGGCACAACTGTGTGTCCTCCGTGTGACAACGAATTGAAGTCTGAAGCCATAATCGAACATCTCTGTGCGAGCGAGTTTGGTAAGAGAGCACCCCCGGCCTCCTTGGTGAGGTTTGGCATTCCCTGGTTCTCCTGGCCCACGTGCCTGCTGAACAGAGCCTGTCGATGCATCTCCTTGAGGCTAAAGTCAAACTTTGTTCTTGTCCCTCCGTGTGGGAGGTTACTGGACAGGGGTTTGGGGACCTTGTCTTGGAGTGAGGGCTGTAGACTTGGGGGCAGGTGGGCAGGGAGTAAGGGAAAGCACCACTCCTTGGACACTCCCAGGAGGTACAGCAGGCAGCTTGGGCTGGCCTTCCCTCCACACTGGCTCTTTCTCCACCCACCCCTAGGTGTCAGCACCATCCTACCCAGGATCTGGAATGGCTGAGGGGCGGTGCCTTCCCTGGGAGGCGGGAGTCAGAGGAGGGGCCCCTAGCAGGTCTTTCTGGGCAAAGAAAATTGACGTCCCCACAGTAATGGAAGTTCTCCCCCTTTTTTCCCAAATCACTCAGGGTTAAAGGGGAATTTCAAATCAGTACTTAGAGCCCCAGGAGCAGGGCTGAATGTGGGGGGCCAGCCTCAGGTGGCCCGTAAGGGATGGTCCCTTATAGTCTACCCACAGAAGACCTGTGCTCCAGACACGCTGAGGGTCTCTCCTCTGGGAAAAGTAATTGTTAACCACATCCATTGGAAGGGCTGACTCCCTCTCGCCTGCCTGTATTTTATATGGATGCTGTGAAGTGGTTCAGGCTGGTCCTACTTTGCTGAAGGACAGGTTCGGCCTGATTGATGCTGAACAAGGCATTTCTCATAGTGCCTGCATTGTGTCCCTGAGGCTGAATATTGTACTGAATTCTCACCAGGTAAAGCAGAATGGTAGGTAATGCAAGTCTTTATGTCCATTTAGAGCTATCTAGTCTGTGTTTTCATTAACCCACCATCATAAAGCGCGCAAAAGGCCTTGTACTGGCAGAGCGCCACAGGTGAATGAGCTGCACGCATATGTACGTGCACATTCGAGTTCAAGGAGATTGTACATGTGACAGCTATGCTCTCAGGGTGTTTGCCGCCGTGGCTGAAGACGAGTGGGAGAACTCGGACCCTTTGCCACAGGGAGCCTCAGGAGGATGGATGCATTCTGTGCGCTTATTTCTACACCAGGTGTCTCTGCCTGCCTCCCTTGCTCTTGGTGGAGGACAGCGGGACCCCAGCGAAGACGTGGTCTATTCTGCATTTTTCTGCTTGTGTTTGTCACATACTCTTTATTGCTGTCCTTTTAAATGAACTCAAATAAAATTATGGTGGAGGGCTCTGGTTACCCTCCATCTAACCGAAGTGGCAGTGGCTTCTCCAAGTCCACACTCTTGTTTGGGCAGGAGGCATCGAATGCCAGGCTGAGCCTGGTGGGTCGCCTGCCAGAAAGCCTGGTGTAGGGGTGCATAGCCCCACACTGCCTCAGCGGCGAGCCCTTCCTCCACAGATGGGGTTGCACTAGAGAGGCCTTTGGGTGGGAAGGAAAAGGACATAAATAAAACCTCTCGCAGATCCTGATGGGAAGCCTTTTGCTGCATGGTTGGGGCAGGGAGAATCTGCTCAGGTGTGGCTCCTTCCCTGAGGGATCCTTAGGAGGGGTCGTAGACTTCAGATATTGTAAGTCTTCCACACATGCTATTCGAAATTGGGCCCCTCACATTTCATCAAATCCAGAGAGTCGTATTAATCTCTGCAGGGTAGTGTATTAGCTGATGTATATGCTCATAGGATTTCTGTCGGGCCCAGCTCCTGGGGGAAGTGTGCCGGAAACTCCAGAACTGAGTGTGTCCAGTATGTGGAGGTCACTGGCATACGATGTCTTCCTACTGTGGAGCTCCATTCAGTGCATCTGATTATTCACTGATTCAGGCATTTCTTCATTCGGTGTTTCTTGAGTGCAAAGCACTGCGCTAGATGCCATATTCAAAAATACGTACCTAGAATAAGCCAAAATTTAATTGGAAAAAAATTTAAATCCTGAACAAACACTAATCACTCATTTCCTAGAAACTGTGGAGTCGTTTTATAACTCACTGGCTGAAGGGAGAGCTGTCAGAACTTAAGACCAAAGTTAACGCTAAGAAGCTGTGAGGAGATAATCAATCCACGCTTATGCTCAGATTGTTGTCTGGAACATACCAGCCTGAACTTGTCATCAGGTCTCTGCTAATCTCCCCCAGTTACCCACCACAATTCTGGTAGCCGGGGCCTTGTGGCAAGTAGTTAGACTGGAGACACTCCCTGGACATAAGCTGAAGAGGCAAGCCTTGGGGAAGAATTTGAATTTGGAAGGTTGACCTCAGGGTGTAGGGTAGGGGACTAGAGGGTGCTCAGGTAACTCTCCTGGATGGACTTTTCTTCACTACAGCAGGCACCAACCAAGTCAGCAAGCACCTGCTCACAGTTTATAGGCTATATTTTATTTTAATAACCAGTCAGGTTTTGGTGAGTCTGAGTGATTAACTGTTTTGGAACTGTGTTCTTCTAGCTCTGAGATTATTTTCTTCTTGGGTTCATAGAAATTTTGACTTCCTCCTGGACCCTATAGGTCATCTTCTCAAGTTCACTTATTTCATAAGTAAGGAATCTGACTTTCTCAGCTGGCATTCTTTTACTCTTAGGGTTCATTGAGGAGAAGACAAACAAGCTCTGGTCTTTGCCCTGGAGGCATTTCTCTAGCCAGCATGGGTATGGTCTGTGCCAGGCTTCTCTGATCTGGATGCAGGAGAGACTTTTTGATTTTTTTTATTTGTAATGTTCTTCTACGACAATAAATAGGGGTCTCCCCTCTCCTTGCAGGGGCTGAGCTTAGCTCTGCCCTTTTTGGCACCCCAGAGAATGCAGCCTTGTTGAGAAACTTGTTCCCTAGCTTAGTTCATTTCAAGTAAGGGAGGCAGTCAGCTACATTGATGGGATTTAGCTAGGAAACAAAGAAATTCAGCAGTGTAAGCTGACACACAACAGAAAAGAGAAAGAAAGCTTTACTCCCTACTTCAGGGATCAAACTTTGCATTAAGTGGCCCTGCCATCCCCGACGGGAAGACATCGGGTTGTTGGAAGGCTCTCTGTGAGCCCCAGGAGCAAGCAGTGCATTCCTTCCGGGTCAGCACGCACACTCGCCCTGCTGCCAGCTCATCTCCGACTCCTGCTGCCCAGCCTGGCACCTCCTCCTCCTGGGGCAGTGCATTTTCACTCTGCCTGGTTCGCTTGGCCATTAGTCTCTCCACCCCTGCACTGTACCCCTCAGTGCAGAACACATTTTTTCCCCCAACAGGGAAAAGCATCAGTAGAAACACCTGTGTGCTGATGCTCAGGAATGTAGCTGGATCAGCCTGGATCAAGCACCAGATGTGGGGAAGCCAAAAGTTAGACGGCGCAAAGTCTGTGAATTCAACATGGCGGCCAGCCCGCCGGCTGCGCTGAACTCGGGACGCACCGATCTGCTTTCTGTCCTCTCTCTGCTTTTCCTGCTGTAGGACAACAGGGTGCTGCTCTCCTCTCTTAAACAGGCCAATATAGTATTTGCAAGCTGCCACACTAATAATCCTGCTGTTAACAACTCAGTGCCCATAGCTGTCTCTGATTTATAATTGTTCTGAGGTTAGGACCCTGCCTCTGGCCTCTCTCTCGCTTCCCCAGTATCTGCAAACACCCTTAAGCTTTTCTGGCAGTTACGCGCATGACGATATATTTTTGCTGAGACAGTTTAGAGCTTTCTCTTGTACTGGCTCCTCCAGTTTTTTGAGCTTGAGAGTTCACTTGGCAACTTCCTTAGCCCAGTATTTTCACACTGTGGAAAAAGATTTCTTTGCCCCCAGAAATTTTCCCTGCCTTCTGGAAGGATTTTTTCCCCCATTTATATGTTTCCCCATAAAGAGTAAAACCATACTTTGCAACACTAAAATGAGTCAAATAGGGGAAAAAATGTCAGCTCTCACTAGTAGTGTTGGGGAGTATTTCCTAGAAGAAATATTTTGGGAGGTTTTTGCACATTTGCTAATTTGTTCTCATTCTTTTTTCAAGGTGTCTTGGCTGTGCTGCTGTTCGGAGGCACAGTGTTTCCCTCCGAAGGGCAGTTTGATCTCTTGCAAAGAGTAGGTTCAACCTTTCCAAAGTAAGCCCTGAGTTTCCTTCCACAGAGGAGGAGAACTGGCTGCCAGCACAGTAATTGCAACATCTGTAAGCTGCTTGAGAGCAGGGGCTGTATCTTGTACCGTAATTTACCTAATGTAAGATGCCCGTTAATTGTGAGAAGCACTATTCATTTGCTTTGTACCACTGACAAAGAAAACATACTTCATGTTCAAATGTAAAGATAATCTGTATCTTAGAATGAACAAAACAAGGTCTGCTTGTACTTAAATATTCTCTGGCACAGTGTCTTAGACATGGAGGCATAAAATAAATGTTTGTCAGATGTGAATACGAATGACGGGATGGCAGTGATTTGGAAATTGGACTTCCTTTTTTTTAGAAAAGGAGAAGGCTCCTTTCCAAGTGAATATGTACCACTTGTTTATTAAGTTCAAGGAGAATTGCATGTCTTGTTTTGGGTGACTGAGTGTATATGTAAAAGCTCTAACATTCAAAAATCTAGTTCAGTCAAAGTAAAATGAAATAGACCCTGGGGCGACATGGGAGGAACTGTTGCCCCAGGGTAACAGCTGTGGTGGGTGAGCTCTAAAATGCAGATTTCTTTCACAGCTCGCTAAATACTTGGAAGGAGTTATTGTGGCATCTTGCCTGAGGAAAACACAGGCTGGGTCCTTTAAGTGCAGCTCCTGGCCTGAGTACCAGCTTCATCCTCCTGTGCACAGTGCTGGGTTGGACAGTGCACAGACCATACATAGCTGGACTAGGCGCCTTCTGACCTTCGAGTTGGCTGGGTGAGTCGTGATGTCATTGCTGGCTCACCCACAGTCTCAGATAGGAGAGTTCCTGAGTAGATCCCAAACCTGGGGTCCTGGCCAGAGGAATCCGGTCTTGGCAGTTTGGATTGAGGTCATAT